TTTTTCAAGCATCATTTCCCCATCATAAATGTTTATATGTAGGACTTTTCTCTTTTGGTATGGAGCAAGTGGCCTTCCAACTTGAAAGATAATGACTGCCTATGAAATGAGTAGGGCCCTACCAAAAATGAAATCTGTGCATTACAGACCGTGAAATCTGGTCTCCCACCGTGAAATCTGGTCTTTTGTGTGCTTTTACCCTAGCCTATATAGATTTCACAGGGAAGACCAGCGTTTCTCAAATTGGGGGTCCTGACCCAAAAGGGTTTTTTTGGGGGGGTGGCAAGGTTATTTTTTTGGGGGGCGTGGTATTTCCATCCTTGCTTCTGTGTTGCCTTCAGAGCTGGGTGGCCGGAGAGTGGCGGCTGGTGGCCGGAGAGCGGCAGTTAGCTCTGAACGTGGCACCTCGCCAGCAGCAGCAATACCATACCATTCCGCCCTTACTTCTGTGCTGCTGCCTTCAGAGCTGGGCAGCTGGAGAGTGGCAGCTGCTGACTAAGGGCCCAGCTCTGCAGGCAGCAGCACAGAAGTAAGGGTAGCAATACTATACCATGCCATCCTTACTTCTGTGTTGCTGCTGGAAGTGGCTTTGCCTTAGGAGCCAGGCTCCTGGCCAGCAGCCGCCGCTCTCCAGTTGCCCAGGTCTGAAGGTAGTGCCCCCGCCAGCAGCAGCACAGAAGTAAGGGTAGCAGTACTGCAACCCCCCCCCCTACAATTACCTGGTGCCCCCCCCACAACTCCTTTTTGGGTCAGGACCCTCTACAATTACAACACCATGAAATTTCAGATTTAAATAGCTGAAGTCATAACATTTACGATTTTTAAAATCCTAAGACCATGAAATGTACCAAAATGGACCATTAATTTGGTAGGACCCTAATAATGAGCATATAGTTGCAATCCTTTTAGCAGAGAAAAGGTGTCTTAAATCCGCCCTTGTTGACAGCCAGTTTAAGGACTGAATGGGTATAAAGCCTGAACTATTCTCACCCCTTAAAGGTAGCCCTTCTAGGTCAGTGTTGCAGCACATTGGCAGGACAGTAGAGGGAAGCCTGCATATCCAGTGCCATAGATGTTCTGCAGATCAAGATCTCCAGGGGTATCAATATGGCACTATTCACAAGCTTATTTACAGGATTTTTTTTTAAAGAAAGAAAATACTGCATGAAGAAACAGTCCTTTTCTCTATGGAACTGCTGAAAATCTTATATAGTCTACATGCTGCGCCCTCTCAGATCTCCTTGAAACAGATCTCCTGTTTCAAGGGCTTCCTTTGAACACACTACTCAGCTTCTTGGAATGTTTCTAATTTAGTAGTTGTCCAGAGACATCTACATGGAGCACATCATGGGACACCGTTAGTACCAGGTTAAGTAATCGAGAACGCCGGTCAGGGGAAAAACCCACTTCCTTCCTTGATGAACCAAGGGACACACCTCACCCACGTACTTATTCACTACACCAATACTGACTTGGACTCTAAATACATTCTATGGGTGGCGTACCCGAGACCACTTATCCACTGACGTTTTAAAAACTCCTGCACCCCAATCTGGGTCTATGCTGGTTATGTACTATGCATGTATCTCGTGAACCTTGTAACCGATGCTTGTAATCCCTTCCCAAGCCTGACCCCACATGTACAGTACCGTCCCTCTTAACTTGTGTAAATTTGATTTTAAACATTAACTTTAATACAATTTGTACTGTTAAATAGCACAACCATTTACTATTGAGGCCAGGGTTGCATGGGTGTCACAGAACAGCAAATACATCGATCATCCTAGAGTTCTTGTTTTTAATGGCCTGCAAGAGGTTGAGGCAACCTTAGCATTGATTTCACTGGATCTGTGACCATTCACAGCAGCTGAGGATCTACCCCTAGGTGTATGTGGGGCTAGATGGCAAGTGATGACAGGAAATGAAAAAAATCTTTCTGAAAAAATTTTTCTAAATCTCATTTTACCAGAATGCATTTCTCAAAATTACAGTAACTAAAAAAAATGCTCTGATGAAAATTTTACATTGCTAACAATGGGATAAAAAATGTCTCTTTTAAGAAATGGGAATTATTCTGTTGCCCATGAACGGCAACTCTGTCTCATCAGCATTTTTTTTATGTAATTAATTTTTTTTGCCCGAATTAAACATTTTCAGTATTCTTTTTAAGCAAAATGTACAAAGGCACATTAAGAACAGCTGTTTAGCATTATAATAATGAGCACAGTGCAACATTTGAAGTGATTGAAACTGAATGAGCTGGCCCACTGTGCTTTGAATGGCTCAGCTAGAACTCAAGTGGGTAACTGTGGAGGTGCAATTATTTTTAATTTGTTGCCATTATGGTTAATTTGTCGCTTCTCTCCATCATTTTGATGTGGGCATTTTGCCTTGTAAAATAGGCCATAAATGCTACTGTTTCAGTCTCAAGCAATTTATAAGTTTTAGAGAAACTGTGATAAATTCCAAATAATTTCATTTCACAAACAGAATTTTTTCCTGTGTAATGTTTCAGCTGGAAATATCTCCAGCTCTTCTTTTCTTTCTTCTTCTCTTTAAACAGTGTAAGAGGTACCACTTAAGGAAAAAGTGTATCCAACATTACTTCCCTAGGCAATGACAGAATCACTTATACAGAAACAAAGCATTTGGCTGGAGTGTTTTTGTAAGTTTCTGAGAGCAGTCACTAGGTTTCTCTCCCCCGCCCCTTTCTATGGGATTGCAACATATACCCCAAAGACTTTTTGAGGTGGCTTTAACATTACAGTATTCTTTGAGTCAGTGGCCTCTGAATAAAGACATAGTGGTTTTAGAACTCATAATTTCAGGTGACACTGGCCTGATTCTTCAATATTTTGGTAGGCTAACTTCCCACTGAAACATCAGCAAGAGCATCCAAAAGAGCAGGGTTTCACTTCCATACTTTGTTGGACCTGTCTGTATTAAATTACCTACTGCAAAGAAGGAACACTGTTCTTCATGTACTCCTACAGACCATATTAATATAAACTACAGCTGGAATACAGATTATAAAAAATAGTTTATTATATGTACAATTTGACTCTATAGACTAGAGGACATCCCCAAGTAGGAAGCAAGATGTCATTGTCTTAGACAAGGGATAAGCTTTTTCAAAACATCGTCTTTCTTATTTTAAAACAGTCTTGAAAGCAGGTAGAAAGATATCACCTTCAGACATCTGTTTTCATATCAGAAAACTATAGGATTTGTATGTACAGTGACTGGATGAGACTCTGAACTAATTAAAACTAATTAATTAAATTCTGAAAGTGGTTCATGAATCTCGGTTTTCAGATTATTCATATAAGAAAAATTATTATTGGTTGATTAATCTGGTTCACAGAAGTTAATATTTCTTAGTGGGTTATTCTCCTCCTGGGATCCAAAATGTAAGATGACGTACCTCATACTTGTTTCCTCTAATGCAAAACAAACACTACTGAAATTTAACAGACCCAGTTTTGCAGCTACAGATTATGAGTTCCCTTTTTTCAATTAGAAATGGGAGAGCTTTTAAAGGCCTGTTTCTCATCTGTTAACTTTTCTGTAATATCAGAAAACTCAGACTTTATTGGCTCACTTTCTGGAGTGTCTTTTTAAGCTTGTATAATTCCATCCCCCCCAGCCAACCAAAAATGTACTCATATCATATTCTCCTTTATTGAATTAATACAGAGTCCTCAGGGATCCATTTGATTGAAAGTCTTGCTCAAGCAAAGGTCTTCTGAGAAGAATTGTACTTGTTTGAAGTGGATTTAGCTAGTCTAATAGAACATGTTGTGATATTTTCCCTGAATGAAACAGAATGCCAGAAAGTAATTTTACATTAATTTAAACATGATGTATGGTATATCATACATAACAACACACTCCAAACAAAATGTTTGATTTTTGTAGGTTAGCATATGGTGTTTATGTTTAAAGATAATTCAATAAAAAAGCACTCTGCTTTGCTGTGTTGCAGACCTGAATTCAGAACAGGTCTGCCATGACATCTGTGGTGCAGAACTGAGAATAAGCATACAGGCCAGCTGGGCCAAATTCTCATTTGGGTTACAGTTGTACAACACCACTGAAGTCAATGGAGCTGCACCAGCATAGAAGAGATGACTCTGGCCTACAGTGTAGGCTTGATGTATCTGGTTTTCTATGGAAAGAGTGCTGCTTTGGACAGCTGCCTGAAAACTGATCCACAGAATACCAGAGATGTGGCAGAATTAGAAAAAGGCAGGCGATACCAATTGCTTCTTCTAAAGAAGAGTGAAAATTCACTGTCTTCTTTGGCAGAAAGTTGAAGACATTTCACACACATAGATGCCTTAACTTCTGTACCCATTCTGTCCACAAAGCATAGACATTGCTATTAGCCTAGAAGCATGGAAAAGGTTGAGCAAACCATGAGGGCATGTTTTTTTCCTACTGTTAATAGGCTCTTACTTTCTTGAGTAACTCATTCTTTTTTTTCTTTTTAAAGTAAACAAAACCCTATGTGGGTCAATATCATTGATTGAATTCAAATAACCTTACATTCCTGAGAGTCAAATGCTGAGTACTTATTCATTTGACATTCTTATTGAATCAAGCTATTAATATAAAATTAAGAGGCTGCACAAGCTAATTGTAGGTGTAAAATAATTCTTACTACAGTAGGATGACTTTTAAATGTTTTTGCTGGTAAGATTCCCCACCCTTCCTGTTTTAAGTAAGACAGTTCTGATTTAATTTTTTTAAGATGAAAAATAATGCTGACTCAGCAGGCATGTCCAGCTCAATCAGTAACAACAGCACATTTGCACTGGCAGTTTGAAGGAATGACTGAAGGAAGGCAAGGAATATCAAGTCAGTAGACAGCTGATCAAAGGTACATTTAAACAATCTGGTCTCGATCTCTTAGTAGTGATCCCTTGTCCTGTTTTCACAGGCGTTAAAAGTAGCAAGTCTATTATATAAAATTGTGTATTAAATAAGGCAGTGCTTACCTCCACTGAGTATAATGACAGCTATAAATATTGCCAGGTCACTATCATCTAGTTCCAGTGCATTGAACTTCACAGCAAACTCAAATTTGGGCTCCATAAAGTCACAAAAAGGTTTTCTCAGGCTCTTCAGAAACTCCCGCGTCATGAATCCTTGTCCATTGGATATGAGAACTCCATCTTTATTCATCAGTGAGGCCAGCAATGTATATATGATCTCGTGGACACCGTATTTCAGGAGAGTTACTTGGTCATTCAGGTCAAGGTTCACAAAACCTGGAATGCTTTTGGCAAATTCTGTGATCTCCTGCACTGCCTCCACTGAGCGAAATTGACACCGCTGGAAGATACGAATTGCCACCTCTTTGTTCTGCTCCTGCAGGGGTGTCACATGTTTGCAATTGATCTGATCTTCACCCATCATTAAGGAGTTCATGTCGTAAATAACAAATGGCTAAAAATAAAAGTAAAGATGGGATTGAGTTTCATGTGTCCTTCCTACATACATTATCCTACTGAAATACTATAAAGGCATAAACCATTGTTAAAAAAACCATGAAAGTTGACATGGGATGTGTAAATACACATCAATATATCTAATAGTTTTGCTTTTGGGTTACAATTCAGATAAATCCACTGAAGCAAACTTTCTTCCAGCATTAAAAATGGTTTGCAGAAAGGCCAAGTAATTCCTACAGATTTCCTACAGTTGCTGGGAACCCACTTCCTGGAGTTTTGGGTTTTGGAGAGGGTAATTTTTTAAATAATTCAAGGAAAGCAATTTCTTTTAAAATACAGAACTGATTTTCACTCCTAAAAAGTGTCTATTAATGTTTTTGTCCTCTCTTAGTTTCACAAGTGTTTTACTATAAGAATTCAGAGTTCAGAAAGTTTGTTAATAAAAGAATATTATCTCTTTAACATGTATTTTAATAGTTTACATCCAATAATATATTACCCTTAAATGTTTAATTTGTAGTTATGTTGGTACAATACTTTTTCTATAGATAGACACAATATGTTCACATTTATATTACTTCATATGCTGTTATGCTTATTTTTAAATACAAGTCCTAGTAAGTGTTACAAATAATCAAAACTGTTTTACCGTGACTATCTTGTAAATGACATCTTCTGTTACACTGATATATTAAAGGACTTAAGAGTTTTTTAAACTCAAGTAACTTGTTAATGAGAAAAAAAAGTCCTTGATGCAAAAAAGTAAACTAGAATAAAGCAAATTCAGGTCACAACGAGTCTGCCTGTTAAAAATACCCAACTAGAATAAGTCAATTTGAAAACAAATTAGCAAAATTAATGGCAGCAAAATTATTTTTCTATGATCTGGAAACAATCTTTTTCGGAATAAACAGATGTGAAGCCCAATGACAAGAACTGTTAAAAGAAGTGGACAAGTGAATACTACGGATTTATCTTAGGAATCTCTATCCTTGGGGCCAAATTATTTAAATAAAGTACATGCATCATTTACCCAGGATTGTATTAGTTTATTTGGGAAAAACAAAGAATGCACCCTCCCAAATCATTTGGTAATATTTGTTTTTTCCCCCGACAATTCACTCTCTCTTCCCTCCATTTTCCCACACATAAGTAATTATCTGTTATTCACCTCAACTGAAATAAGAAACATGGGAGGTATAATTTCTAACATGCCTTTTAGCCTTCATGTATTCAACCCATTGACTTCAATGAGCACTGGATCAGGCTGGGAGTTACTGACTCCCAAAAAAGTAATTTAAACATGGGCCAACAATTGGATCATGTTCTGCTTCTAAGAAACATACAATTTTAATTGTTTAATTGTGAAATTGGGTGGAAAACCACAATGTTACATTTGAGAGGGGAGAAAGAGATGTGGATAAGGGAGAGCTACAATTTGTAAGATATCAGCTATCTTTAGTACCACTCTATTGTGTTGCAGCTGCAGAAATATTTCTTCAAACTGAGACCTACGTATATAGCTGTGAATGTTTGATCCCCTTCTTATTCAAGCAAAATAAAATAATAAATAACCACAAGATGCTACATATTTCTATTTGGCATTTACTTTTCTGCCTCAATTCTACATATACCAAAGTTTCTGTTTAAGTCTTCAATTTGCCCTTTGAAACCAGACATACAAAATTCATAGGTCAGAGATTCCAAGGCCAGAAGGAACCAGCCTGACCTTCTGTATAACACAGGCCATAGAATTTCCCTGAAATAATTCCCCAAAAGAGCATATCTTTTAGAAAAACATCCAATCCTGATTAGAAAATTGCCATTGATTGAGAATCCAATGGTTAAATACCCTCACTGTTAAAAATTTACAGTTTATTTCCAGTCTGAATTTGTCGAGGTTCAACTTCCAGCCATTGGATTATGTTATACTTTTCTCTGCTAGATTGAAGAGCTCATTATTAAAATATTTATTCCTCATATAGATACTTATAGACTGTAATCAAGTCACCCCATAACCTTTTCTTTGTTAAGCTAAATAGATTGAGCTCCTTGAGTCTGTCACTATAAGGCATGTTTTCTAATCCTTTAATAATTCCTGTGGCTCTTTTTTGAACCCTCTCCAATTTAACATCCTTCTTGAATTGAGGACACTAGAACTGGACAGGGGTTTCATCAGTACCAAATATAGAGGTAAAATAACCTCTCTACTCCTATGTGAGATTCCCCTATTTATGCATCCAAGGACTGCATTAGCTATTTTGATCACAGTGTTACACTGGGAGCTCATGTTGAACTGATTATTCACTATGCCCTCCATCCTTTAAGTATGGCCTACATTCTTTGTTTCTACATGTAGGTATTTACATTTAACTATATTAAAATGCATATTGTCTGGTTGTGCCCTGGTTAACAAGCAATCCAGATCACTCTAAAATATACAAAGAATATACAAAAATCTGGCGGTAAAACCTTTTAATACCTTTGTAAGTATTTTATTTGGAACCAGACCTTTAGAAATCAGTCTTGGGAACTGTGCAGTCTCTCTGAGGAATGTATTTGTTATTGTCTTTGACTAGTCTTTTTTGATATTTAAAGTCAGCACAAGAAAATCCTGCTATTCTTTGACAATGCTTACAAAATGAAGATTTTAACCTCTTTGCAATGCCACTCCTGCAAAATAATTTACATTGCTCTCTGACAAGGACTCAATGCACCTGCCTACAAGCCCATCATACCTGTTTGCTTTGTTCCTGGATCTCAGGTTCCTTCTATGAAATAGAAGTAAGATGCCTGAAAATTCTGGGTACTGGCATGTAAATGAGCATACAAAGCATCCCATCTGGTTACATAATTCCTATCATCACTACAACAAATATCTTGATCTTCCAAATGCAACAAGTTATTTTCTATGGGCACTGATTCTTAAAGACTTAACTTCTTGTAGTCTGGCTGCAGAGACTTAAAAGCAATTTCAAAGATAGTAGTAGTAGATGGGGTCCCTGCTCATACAATCCACTTGTAAGGGTTTGTCTGCATAAGAACATTGTTTCAATTTAATTAAATCAGTTTAGAAGCCTAGTTAAGCTAAACTGATATGAGGCACTCTTAAAACTGAAACAAAAGTATCCACATAAGAGGGTTGCACAAATTTAATTAAATCAGTTTCTAAAGCAATTTAGTTAAATTAGCACAATTTTCTTATGCAGACAAGGCCTAAAATGAAACTGGCTGTGCCATTATAAAAGTGACCAGCTGGCAAACCTAGCAACAGGCCATTCGTTTCAGTCAAAATACAAGACAATGTAAGATACATCACTAATTGTTTGCCTACAGTACTATGACACTATCTTTTAAATTTCAAGATGTGTGAAAGCACATAGTAGGAAAAGGATAGATATGTCTCAAGGCTTATTGCACATGTTCTTCCAGTCCTGACAACAGCAGAATATTTTTCATATAAATAACTGGATGGAATAATGACGCCATGAGTGTAGCCTACTAAACATCTACTTTCATTACTGCTGGGCCAGTCTCTGGGCAAGGGATAGCTCAATTCTTTGAGCATTAGCCTGCTAAACTTAGGGTTATGAGTTCAATCCCTGAGGGGGCCATTTAAGGATCTGGGGCAAAAATCTGTCTGGGGATTGGTCCTGCTTTGAGCAGGGGGGTTGGACTAGATGATCTCCTGAGGTCCCTTTCAACCCTGATATTATGATTCCTAGTTGCTCCTCCAGCACCAAAACTTGAGAAAAGCATCATTTGTTATAAGGAGATATACCTATCTCACAGAGCTGGAAGGGACCTTGACAGGTTATTGAGTCCAGTCCCCTGATAGATTTTTGCTCCAATCCCTAAATGGCCCTCTCAAGCATTGAGCACACAATCCTGGGTTTGGCAGGCTAATGCTCAAACCACTGAGCTAGCCCTATCATGGATAACATCTGTTCCCTGCTTACTGTTCTGCTATGCTGATAACAATACTTCAGTGCAGCTCAGCCCACTCATATTTACAGAATGAAAAACAAAAAGAGTTGACAATAGCCAAGAAAAAAATGCAATTTAAAGGCTCAAACGAACTCTGTAACCTGAAGCTCATTTTGCCATGGCTGGTGAGCGCTGTACATTCCAGATGAGGACTTGTTACTTAGTAATTTTAGATTCCACATTCTACCTTAGCATATCCAATCATTTTCAGGTGACGCAGATGCTACTGCAATTAAAAAAGGTATAAATTTAAACTGTGCCCATAGTAAACAGTTTGATGTTCCATAGCGCAAAGTCCATTACAGTACAAATAATATAAAAGTTTTAATCATTATTTACTGACTGAGTGCATCCACTCTTCCAGTGGTACGTAAACATGGCCTGAAAAGTGGTAGCAATTATATAGGGGTTTGTCTATTTATGTATTGTTTTATGGCAGACTCTAGCCTGGTGATTGGTTTAAATAGAACATCATGTGATGGTACACTATATACATTGCATGAGCATTGCATCAGCATAACATTCAGGTATTACCAAGTCACTTCCAAAGTCCAGACAGTTATTAATTAACCACCCAACAAAGCATAGCAGTACAGTTCATTCAGATCTCACGCAGCTTTCTCAGAATGAAAATTGTGAATGTGCTATCCTACCACAAATTTGGAACAAATGAAGAAGAGTTCACCCCTAAAAACTCCTGCCCAAACTTTACACTGGGCCCAGGGCATGCTGGATGTTTAGATCTCGATCCTACCAACAGTTTTATGTGAATAACATTACGCCAGTGAGTATTACTATTGACTTGAGTGTGACTACTCATATACATAAAATTATTTGTGTGCATAAGTGTTTGCAGGGTCAGAGCCTCAGTCAATTCTGTTTAGATGTCCAATCAGCATGAACACATTAGATAAAGCAGACAGTTGCTTGGTTTAATATTAACTCTAATTGCATCAGTTTAAGTATGCGAGAATAGCTGGTGGCATTCTTAGTACATAAACACACAATTTAGAGTCAAACTCTGTTACATACAATAGCATAAATAAGATCAGAATCTGGTTTACAGAGTTTAACATGAAAGAATGAGACCAGTTTTTTAAAAAATGTATAAAGATTCCTTTTATGAGGCAAGAAATTGGAAAATCAGCAGTATACATTAAAAAAAGACAAAAAACAATATAATTAAGTTTGATCCTGCTCTGATGGCTTGGATGTTAGCTACTATAACCTGGCAGACCGCTCTTGCCCTTGAGTCAGCTAATTAATTCTACCACAAACATATGAGCAGTGAGATCTGAACTGTTATACAAAACAATCATCTCTCTCTCTCTTATTCATAATAAACAAACAAACAATTATCTATTAAATAAGGCTCTCAACATCCTTTATAAATAGGGGGCAATGCTAATTTGCAACTAGGAAGAGACTTTGGTCCCCAAAATTTTACACTCTTCAATTATGTAGGATTTAAGCAGTCCCTGAAAAATAGTTCCTAGCCCTACTGCTCAGGAAGAAAACCTTCTAGTTGTGGACTAGGGTTGCCAATTTTGGTTGGATGTATTCCTGGAGGTTTCATCATATGACATAATCTTTAATTAAAGATTAATCTTTAATTCCTGGAGACTCCAGGACAATCCTGGAGGGTTGATAACCCTATTGAGGACCAACGCAGTAGTCTTTGACAGAGTCTGCAGAGAGATATAAATAATAGCTCCAAGAATTTATTTCTGATCTCAGATACTCTGGTGTGTGAATTAGGAATAACTGCACTGAGTTTAAAACAGAGATAAGAATCAGGGTTTAAGAAAGATCTGAACTGCCCCTTTTTCTCAATGAGGTGTTGACTCTGAAACCTAACAGTTTAAATGCTGATACTATTAAATGTTTCACTACTGGTTATTTTAGCAGAAAGATCTGGACAACATCCGTATCCATTGTTGATTAATACAGTGGCACACATGGGATGAGAGAAAATGCAATCAGGAAAGCTGCTCTACTTCCTAATTTTAAAAAAATGGAACTGCTACAAGTGGTGGAGTTTCTCAGGTCAGAACTTTCTCTCCAAGAAAAAGAAATTGGCTGGCCTGCCTTCCATTTAAATTCATGGGACATGAGACACAAAGAAACTACCACTGTGCTTCTCTGCCCTCTGTTCAGGATACAGAGAGGTTGGGGAAAAAACTGCTTTCCTTTCAGCATTTTCCTCTACCTACATGAGCTACTCTCATGCCTGAAGAGCAGCAGTCTAGAACTGCTGGTGTCCTTTTCTTTCCCTTTCTCGCTGCTCCTTCTGCCAACTGCTTTCCTGCTTATTGTAACATAATCTTCTTAAGGTGTAAGGATCAACTTGGCAATGCCCATTTTGATGATTATTCTATACCTGACTGATTTCTATGGGTTGATCCAAAGCCTAAACACAAATCCATAAAACAGTTCACTTCCCAAATCAGATACATGCATAGAAGCAAAATTTCTACTAAGCATATTAACACCAAGGCAGGTCAGATTATAACTGTTCTCACTGGCTCTTTTGCAAGTTTAGGGTATGTCTTAACTGCAGAGTTAAGTTATCTACACTCAAGTTACTGCTTTTGAGTTAGATTAGCTTGAGAGAGAGTGGGCATGTTGCAAAATAACAGTTGGGCTGCTATGTCTGCACAGGTGTTACACTTATTCATATGTGGCACTAAAAATTCTTAGGGACGTATCTCATGGTTCTTTGCTCTGCAGGAAGCTGAACCGCTCTATGAATTCTTTCCCAGTGAACTTTGTGAAAAGTTGTCTATCCTGGGAACATGTAGGAAGATGTTGGAGGACTACCGGCATTACAGTGGAGCTAGCCTGGGTCCACACTACAGAACAGTCATGTTAGCAAGTGACAAATTATGCTTTAGCCTATACCTCTTGAGGGGCCAGCCAAATTGAGTTAAAACACTGCCACACTTGAGGGAAGGATTTTTGTGTGTGGATGGTACTTGAGTTTGGGGCATCACTTGAATTATAACTTAAGTTAACTTTGTAGTGAAGACAAGCCTTTAGTAGCAATCAAATAGTGTGAAATTCTTTCCTGACTTAGAAAATATCAAAGAAAATCAAATCAATTGGCCTCAGTGCGGTCCTAACTAACAAACTGCCTGATACTCAGCCTAAGGAAACACATCAACACCAATAGCTGTTAATTTTGGAAAAGTTTTTTATCCCATGTAGTTGAATGATGATAAAACAAAACTCCACTATGTTTAATAGGATGTCATAGATGCATACTTTTATACTGATTTACAGAGATATTACTGTATAGTAAAATAAATCTTTACATGTTGCATTTTTCAAGGGAACCCACAAATACATATACATTTATTGCTAACTTACACAGATTTTCCTATACTGTGTTTCCTTAAAATTTAAGTTCTAACACTACAGGATACTGAACTAACCAAGATAACTAACTTAAATGCAGGAACTCATCATTATATCTTAGGAACACGCAGTATATTTGTGGGGAGTGGGTGACACTGCTGGTTCCGTGAATCATTCAACACTTACAAAGCAGGAAACCAAGGAGGATATGACTATCATCATTTAACTACATGGGTTTAGAACATATCTTGGGTTCACAGCTGGTACTGGTAATACACTACTGTATGGATGCTTGCAATAGTATTGCTGCCTGTCCTCTAACAGATAGACCTATTACAGAGATAATGTGTAAGATAAACTATGGTGGAGGACAGGGGAAATAGGAAGAATGGATCGAGGAGTACAAAAAGGTTAAGATGACCTTCAAATTCTTGTACTGATTTCAAGTATTTTACTAGGTGAACTTGGAGATTTTTCAAATTATGTTTACTTATCCTATCTAAAAACATTTCCTGTGTTTCAGACACAGCTTGAAATATGTAACTGCCAACAGCAAAGGGTTGGGTTTTTTTTAGTGTGTTGTCAATGTGGTAAATCATTTACTTAAAAAAAAAACAGAGAAAACTAACTGATTTGTCTGTCGTTTTTCCTGTCAAGATCGCTCTCGCCTTGGCTTTGGTCAGAGGGAAGGACTTTATGTATGAGTCATACAAGTTCTTGGCAAGGGCTCGAAGATCAGCAGACTCTGGGTTTAACTGGTCGATGTCGCTGGAAATCTCTGCCAGGAGCTTCTCCTTCTCAGCTTGTGGCATTCGCCCAAACCTGATAGCTGAAGAAGACAAATCGTTACATTAGTCACAGCTGCATCTAAACACAAATATATTTTTAAAATAATATTTTCTGTCACCTTTCATAATGAGCATTCCAGAGTTTCATTTTCATTCAGAGTGCTTAGACAAGTGGCAGAAAAATGACTTCACCCAATAGAGTAGACAAGCAGTTGAAAGGGTTCAGAGAATTGTCACAAGAACAAAAGTAAAGGAGGAAACCCATACAGTCAGCTAGGATGTCCTTGTGAAAAGGTGTCAGGTTCTAGGAGCCTGCATGGAAATGCAGAGCTATTCTTCTGATTCATCTGATAGACCAGGTGAGTCTAATTAATCCCAACTCAGGAGGATAAAAAATGGAGAGCCTTTAAGTAAAGCCAGTGTTGTCTGTTAGACTGAGTGCAGGATTAAAAGTCAGGAAGTTCTGAGTTCTAATCCTGGTTCAGTCACTGTATGATTTTAGGCAAAAAGGGAATGCTTACTTACTTCACAGACGTGGTGTGAGAATCAATTAGTTAATATCTATATAGTGATTAATATATAAAGTACTATAAAATGTTATTCTGAGAGGAAGTAAGGGGTCAAACAGGAGGTCTTTCAGGTAAAATCCCTAGAAACAGCAATTTTAGAAGGCAGCTTGACAAAAGGTTGCTAATTGCTTATAATTAAAAGTTAATAATAAAGGAAAACCCCAGAGGGGTGAGATTTGAATGCTAACTCTGTCTGTATGTGTGCTGTGTTGACAGAGTGGCGAAGGACTCACTTACTCACAATACCTCACAATTACCCAACTCAAATGTAAGGCGGGATACAAGGCACACATCTTTACAACTTATAAATGTGTACCATCCAAAGGACTGTTTACACACATGGGCAATGATTCTGAAAAATCTTTCAAATATGCCAGTAAGATATGTTTCCTAACAGACTATTTTTTTACAATATATAGATTTCAGTAAATGGAATTAAATCTACATGACCCTTAAGAAAATAAGATAGAAAGAGCATCAGAGTGAAAAAGTCACTCTCCCCCCACCACCCCACCCCACCCCAAAAAGGAAAAAAGTTTGTGGTCTTGGTTTAGGAACAGGTAAAAAAAAACCCTATAAATAAAGATTTTCCAATTGTCAATGTCTTCTCCCTTTAAAGGTAAAAAACATTGTTAGCTTAGTACTTCCAAATGGCTAAACTGGGGACACTTCCTTTGGATTATGCTTGCCTCTTTCCTGTTATGAGAAACATGGAATACTCCTTTTTACACTGGTGTTGTTGGGCCAGAAATAGCACTTTCATAAACTCAAAATAATCTTTGATGACACAAAAGCATATGAAAGCCATTTAGCACCTGTATTACTGACTGACTCTCACTTCATGCTAGAGGTGGCTTGTTTGCTCTCACATTTCCATCACAGTTCCCTTGCAGTAAAATCCATCACCAAGAGAAACATGCTGCATATCTCATATCTCTGCGGGTGTCCCCTGAGTTCACATTTCAGAATAAAATCAGAATGGAAGGGAACCTAACAGGTCATTAGGGACCACTTAATGCATTCTATATTTAGACTTTTTCCTGAATATGTCCCCTGCCTACAATTTCTTCATATGGAAACATCTGAATAATTGCCAATTTATATTTATTTTGGACTGGAGTCTGCGTTACCGTCTTTTTTTTCTCCACAGGGATAGTAAATGGACTTAGTCAGCTACCAGCAACAGTTTCCAGTGACACTTCATTGCCAATCCTCTTGATTTCTTATAGCTTAGGAAAAGCTTTCTCCAAAATCCCAGATTTTAAAAGATTTAAAGAAAAAAAAAGTACCATCTGAATGACACAGCATGAATGATGGCTCAAAGAGATTAACACAGTTCTGTCAGGGAGAAACACCCGAATCCTGCATAAATAATATGTACTCAGGTTTGGGGTTCTTATCCTGTGTAATGGTTGTGGGAACAAAATCTATCTTGTATCAACCTAAGGACAGACTTTATTGTAGTCTTTGGGCTGCTGCCCCCCTACATCCATGATCAGCACCTACCAGATACTGTAAAGTGAATAAGAATGTATCCAATGCCTTCTTGCCTCACCTGGCCCCAAACAGACATCTTGTTTGCTGGCACATTGAGAGTGCAGAGGGCTTGATCCCAGCCCACTGAAGTCAATGGGAGTCTGTTGACTTCAGTGGGCTTTGGATCAGGCCCAGGAAGAACAAAGCCCCTTCTGTGTGACTGTTCCATCCCATACTCACATGAGAAGGGGAAAATTGAGGTCTCTATAGCAGGAGGGGTTTGCATGGGCCTTCTACTGACAAGTGAATTTCATCAGAAGAGACTAGAATTGTGGATTGACAGTAAAGACAAGTGATAGAAAAAATTACTCATCAAACTAACAAAAGAATTTAGATTCATACCTAGTAAAAATCCACTAAAGTCACTGGAATATTGAAATCAATTGAAATCAACATTGAGACAATACCAGAGACGAATTCAGTCCAAAGTGCTTAAATAAATACTTGTAATTAAAAGCAGGGACTTTGGTTTTATAATTGAACAAGATTCTGCCGATACTATTTGTGTATCAAGAAAACTTGAAACTCTTATTTGTCATTGTAAGTTATTTATATCAGGAATCATAAAACTGAGGTTATGGACAATATGCTAGAGTAGTTTATCCTGAATCATCTAAAGTTTCCCACATTATGATTTTCCTTGTATTCATCATTTTTGAGCTTTGTAACACAGTCGAGACTTGACATGTTTTGGTTCTATGATCTGAGGTTTTATAAGAAATGTTGTTTTTCTGGCTTTACTGTTAATCACTGACCAGTACTAATGATTTGTTTATATATATAACAAAGATGTCAATGTATTTAATACATTATATCTCTACCCCGATATAATGCGACCTGATATAACACAAATTCGGATATAATGCGGTAAAGCAGTGCTCCGGGGGGCGGGGCTGCACACTCCGGTGGATCAAAGCAACTTCGATATAACACGGTTTCACCTATAACGCGGTAAGATTTTTTGGCTCCCGAGGACAGCGTTATATCGAGGTAGAGGTGTATTTATACAATGATAGCTCATATTAGATTGTTATATAATGCTTTAGGTCTCACTTGTGTAGGCTCCATGACTGAAGATGTGTTCCAGTATTGCGTAATCAAGGCCGCATTTAATAAAAAGGGTCCAATTAGTATAATTATATTACAGGTAAAGTGTAATACTGTGTACATAATACAGATAGCCTTTATACACAAGGTACATTAGACCTAATGACTTCACAAAAATTGTCATAAGGAAAACCAAACCCAACATGACATTTAAGATTCTTGTTAGGGGCATGAAAGGCTTACGAAAAGTGAATAAAATACAGTAGAACCTCAGAGTTACGAACACCATGGGAATGGAGGTTGTTTGTAACTCTGAAATGTTCGTAACTCTGAACAAAATGTTATGGTTGTTCTTTCAAAAGTTTACAACTGAACATTGACTTCATAGCGCTTTGAAACTTAACTAAGCAGAAGAAAAATGCTGCTTTTAACCATCTTAATTTAAATTAAATGAACACGGAAACAGTTTCTTTATCTTGTCAAATCTTTTTTTAAACTTTTCTTTTATCTTTTTAGTAGGTTACGTTTAACACAGTACTGTACTGTATTTGCTTTTTTAATGTGTCTCTGCTGCTGCTTGATTGTGTACTTCCGGTTCCAAATGAAGTGTGTGACTGACCAATCAGTTTGTAACTCTGGTGTTCGTAACTCTGAGATTCTACTGTACATTTTGAACAGGGAACCAGAGTGATTAGTGGCTGTGAAATTCACATTTTCATTAAAGTCTCCTTTGTCCTTTAATAAGCCAGATTACAGGCTTTAAATAGTGTCAGACTTCTGACAATTAGTAGGATTATGTTTTATGATTAATTTGTCCACTTTTTAAACATATATGTTCATTTTGCAAGAGCCTCACCATGTCAAAGAAGAGTCTTGCAATGCTCTGGTGCCTTTTCAGGGCTTTTGCCAACAAGTTCAACTTTCCCTGCCCCTCACCTCTCTTTTAAAGAAGGATTTATAAACTAATGATACATCTTAAATGAGGTCTGGCAGGTTACTAAAGGCCATTTTCTAACTCCCAAAAGCAAAATAAGAGGCAATACTGGTGTTAAAATTAAGGATCTTGGATGCAAAGGAAAATCAGAATAGCACATTTGTTTAAATCAGTAGTCGTGTCTGTAATAGCTGTAGCATTAATCACATATACAAAATATCTACTGTTAGAAACTCATGCATCAGGATATTGATATTGATATTCATAATGTGTTCATCAATGTAGTAACTGAGTGCATGTGGTGCCACTCGCTGGATATACTTAAGAGCCCAATTCTGAAAAGTGGGGACTGCCTCTTGAGACACGAATAGGAGTGGAATTCAGTTAGAGTATCTTCACAGGAGATACTCAGCAACTCACAAGAACAGAACCTTAGAAGGTATTTCACCTTCCTATCCAGAGTAGGTGCTGATCATCACTGAAAACAGAATACCAGAGTAGATGGACAAACTGTCTGTTCTCTTATGGTAATTCCCTTGTTCCTAAACTATATTGCTGTCTATGTAAACAATACATTCATAACAAGGCACATGATACCTTTAACAAGCTGAGAATATCAGATACAAATGCTATGAACTCACTTCCTGAAGCATGCTATTGCCTTTATAAAATAATGGCATTAAAGTGTGGCTAAGAAATACAGCTCTACTGGATACAAATATTGAGGCCCCATCCCTCACACAAATAGTCCCACCGGTTTCAATGAGACTATTCTCAGGAGTCAGGGTTTGCAGGCTCACACTCGTGATTTTGAAATCTCACTAGCAAAAGTTGTCCTTTTATACAGACTATTTTTATACAAAGGGAGAAGAAAAATGAACACTATAATACTTCCCCTTGCTACATTAAATATTCACTTAGCTCTAAAATTTTCATACCCTTCTCCAAGATTTTA